TATTTCGTAGTTCGATTTGACGCGTTAGAACGCTTCAACGGGCCATCATGCCTGTAATGAAAGAAAATGCAAATGACTAGATGATCCCCACGTGTAAATTAAAAGGTGAACAGCGATTTACAGCTATCTGCGGGAAATTGGCAAAGCAAAGATCAAGCAGCCTGCTATTACTGTTAGTAATACGTCTGCATTGATTTAAGTTACGATCAGATAATTCATTGAAAAACACAAAGCTCTATCAGATGTTGAAGCAGGGACCATAGGCCAGAATTATCACTATAACACCAAGTGACTTGTGGCAAATTGAAGTCATCCAACGTCGCGAATGAGGACAGCATGTTTCCTATAAATAGAGATAACCGCATTTGGGGGAATATGGGAGAAAGTTACGTACAAATATTTAGTGCCAATTTTCGCCCGAACGACAATATTCAATTGAATAGGACGGGCAGCAGATATGGCAGTTAAAACACTATCACCAACACGATCCAATCGATCCTTTCTAAGAAGCTGGAAAGAATTGTGAATAACTTCTGACGAATGTAAATCAGGTTTTCACCAGGTTTCGATAAAAGCCAAACAAAAAAACTCCATGATAGCTGAATTTAGGCAAATAGAGCGAATTTTTGAGTTTAGATCCCTAAAATTTTGGTAAGTTACTAGGCCTGCAGAAACATTTAGTTTTTGTGGAGTGGAAGATCTACCGAAGTTTGATTCCGAAGAATTAGTTCGTATATTAAACAGCCAACTGGCCACAATGGTTTATTTAACAAAATTGTTATGTTGTACAATATGGAGTGGGTGCTTCTTCTATTTGCAAAATAAAAGTTATTGTCGTATAGGCATGTGGGCCTTTGAAAAGCTTAAGTCAATTCCAAATTCTTTTGCAAAATTGGAGGCGATATCTTCACTTTCGCTAACAGGAGAATATTTAACACAAATGCTGCAAAGTTAGGCAAACAGATAGATGGACCGACGAACAGACGGACATGTTTAGGTGCATTCAAAATTTAAAACTCGCCAAGAATTTGTACACTTTATGGGGTTTTTCAAACTTGTTTCTGGGCGTTTCAAAGGTATGCAAAAATGATTAAATTTAGATACACTGTAATATTTAGTAGACGTGGTCAATTTTTTCCATTTTTGTGCTATATGTATACTACAGCATCGCCAATAGAAAATGAATTCAAATTTTTGTACATTTATTTGCTGTAGTTTGTGAGTAATAAACAATCCACCAATTTTCCATTCTTTTTAAAAAATGGAATTATTTTCAGTTTACGTGATACTGTGGGTATGTTCTTCGATCCATTTGGCCCATTTTCAATACTAACCTAAGAAGGTGATGGTGATCAAGAATATACCTTGATGGTGATCAAGAATATATACACTTTGTGGGGTCTCCGATGCTTCCTTCTAAGCGTTGCAAACGTTTTAACAAAATGAATATATCCCTCATCCTTGATGGGCATAAAAAAACAAAAGACAGGTCGTTTGTAAACATTAGAAACAATTTATTTACTGCTTTTGAGGTAACGCTGGGAGTCGGAAGCATCCCGCGAAGCCTTTCTTGCCCGTCTCATGGTGTTTCTTTCTTCTGCGTCGCGGTTCACCTCTTCAATGAGCAAACGTGAAAGGAAGTTACGATACATTGCGCTGGAAATGTACGGATTGGTTCACATTGCTTAATTTAGTTCGATACTTAAAAAAAAAATGTTACTCACTTTTACCAAATTTGCTTTTTTCTTCACATTCACAAATTTAATTTCGGGCTCGCTTTAATTTTTTAAATTTTTGAATTAACAATTCATTTTCTAAGAACTGTTTATCTTTTTCTGTTGCAGCAGTGTTGTCATAGCAGACTACAGACGTATTTGGTGCGTGTGATGTCGATGAGAGGAGCACAACATTTTTTTTGTTCTTGGAAACAGAAATGTTCTCACTTTATGCTTGTGTTTTAAATGTATGTTTTGACCGCTTCATCCTATTTTCAGAACTGTTAACTTGTCCGTAAGAAGAATTTTTGGAAGCGAGATATTTTTTAGTGCACAAATCCATAAAGGTGGAAGGACAGACATGCATAAATCAACTCAGAATTTAATACTGCTCGGGAACATGTATAGTCTACAAAGTCTCTGGCGCTTTTTTCCGAGTGCTACAAACATTTCGAAAAAGCGTAAGTACATTCAATTTTCTTTTGCGCCTACAAAAAAACTTCGTCTCCTTCTCGGTCGAGAGATTAAAGGAACAGGTATGATGTGCACCAAGTAATAATTTTAAATTCATAGGAAGATTCTAAATACAGTTCGTGAAGTGCTATCAAAATTAGTTTATCATTCTCTAACCCAAAACATCATTTGAAAAGGAAAAAACAATTTTATTTGTTTCTTAACACCCTTAATATACTCATTATCCCATTTAATCATTTCGTTTAACTATTTATTTAATTTTTTATCCCATTCATCAATGGTTTCCGCAACGTTTCCATTTTCGGCATATTATCAAACCTTTGATTGGGGCATAGTCGTCCTCGAGCATCAAGATATCAACAACAACTCAAGATATCCATGACAACTCATTCATACCATATTTCTTGATCGGAAATACACCATTGCGGATAGGCGTGGGCCATTATCAAGTAACAGAATCGCTGAAAACAAATAAATACTGAAAGCAATACCTATGAAATTTTTTTCAGAATGAAGTGTAATCGATTATTTTACTTACCCCAAACGAAATATATCGCGAAATCAGTCCATGTCTGCATCATTTTCACTAAACATCGCCCGAAATTTTCTTTTCCATATGTGGTGAGCATTAAGTTCGACGGCGAAGAAAGTCGTTTTATGGAAAGCATATGAACTCAAGGGAATCTTATTTCGACCTCACGCCATCAAAGGTTAAGTACGAGTCGTCATGAGACAATGACGCGTCATTTTTAGTACTCTACTTGAGAACAAAACGATCCTTAACAAGGGAACTAAATTTACGCATTTCGACCGCGCCAGCTCAGGCTTTGGAATCTCTCCCACATAAAGGATCCCGTAGAAAACGTGCCCTTTTACGGGAAAAAGATACAAAATTTTAATATTTTATAACGATAATAATTAAAAAATCCTACTGGGCGGTGTGGTGTGGAGGATTGAAAGTCTGCCTCGCCCGTTTTATTAATATTATTAGTGGCCTTTTTTTGGATAGACGGAAAATGTCAAAAGCATAACGTGTGGAACTTCATACATCATGCCTTAGTTCTCATAATGCCGCTATTAGATATGCTTTCACATTATTAATAACATTTATTGTTTCACATTCAATTCATTAAAAAATTAAAAAAAAAAAATCCAAGTTTGCCATATTTCAGCTCTCTTCGCTACTGCTGTACCCTGGTAACGACTTTGGTTGTTTTTGAGTTCAGTGCATTCGTCTTAAATTGGTCCCGACTGATGTGCCATTACACGATTTTGTAGGTGCGGTTGCCTTTACGGCACCTATGGTTATCTATACAAATGGGGAAGCTTTATGAGTCCATCGTTTCTAAACCCTATTCTGGCTTAGAACGCTCTTCCCAGACTTGACAGATTTTAATGGTATGGGGTCTTTGAACAGCATTATTCCGAAGCAACTAACGGAATACTGCTAGCCCTATAACGTCCACTCATATTCATTACAGGTTAAACCATATAGTATCAAAGCTCCTGCGAAATATTGGGATAAAGCAATTTAATAGTAATGCCGATGCGGTTCATTGTGGTTTCCTTTATTTGATAATTAATGCCTTCGAGCAGATCTCTTTTGCCAGTAGCATCCACACAGCTTCGAAAGAGCTGCTTATTGTATTGCGCCCTAAATTTGTTCGTCATCTTCATGAACGAAGTGATGAACGATCAACATTGCTATCGGCTAGTCCGTGTACCGGGTGGTGCTTGGGACCACGTTTCCGCTATGCAACGTCGATTGATGCACCAACAAAGGATACAACTTCATGCTTTGCGCCTAAAGTTGACTTTTTGCTGTAGAAGCTGACTTGTATGTTGGTTGACTCGGCTTCGATAGAGATAGCTTTAGTTTGGTCTTTCGAAATTTCAACGTAACTGTTGATGAGTATGAAATAAATGATTGAAATGAATAGGCGAACTTTAATTTACACGGTATGTTCATTATGAACGCAGTCTTAGCGAAATTATTGAATACTCGGGAAATTAAAAGATTTTCTTAAAATATCATTGTTTTCTACACTAATTTTGTTTAGGTGTATATGAAATTCCTTATTAAATGAAATTAAATCAAAGCACGCCACCTATGATTTAAAATATCAGTACATTTTCGCGTTTTTAAGAGATTGGTAACCCAATCCGCGTTTAAAGAACGTTACTTAAAAATTATAAATTAGTTTTTATGCTATTGTCGGGAATCTTTAAAATAGACTAAAGCGAATCTTTTAAGGACTTACAATTCACGGTGCGCGTAATCGCAGATCTCTGTTATTGTTTCACCATTTAGAAGTTAAACAACGGAATTCTTTCCCCTCATAAAAATTGATATCCCAACCATCTTTGCCCAATTTTGAACATCTTTATGTTTCAAAAGAGCTTAGTGTAGCATTCTAACTTGCTTTGTCTTTTATTGCCGCGAGTCGCGGTTTTAAAATAAAGTCTCACCCGCATTTTCTAAAAGACTCATCAAATTGGGCGCTTAAAGCTATTGACAGGACGTGTTTTTCGAAACCATCTTACATTGATTTTAATCATTTTTGATTAAGAATATTAGACCTATGCTATAATTTCTTATAACCAAGATTACATACACTAAAGAGTCGCGCAAATCTGTTTGTTGTTAATTGCCCTAAGATACTGAGTCTTCGTAGCAATTCTCTGGCAATTATCCTGTTCGTGCGTTCAATATTAGCGTACTTTGTGATATATTCTTGTGCGTCTTCTGGTATAATATCTAAAAAATATCTTAACAAAATAGCAATTGAAATGAAAAGATATCTTGAAATTATTTAAAATTTTTCATTTTATTAAATGCAGGACAGACAATCATCAATGAATTTGTTCATTTGCCAAATCGATTAATAAAAAAAAGAGTATTTCGATTCTCGTTCTGTTTTTCAAATATGATTTTTTCTCAATTTAATTTCTCCCTACTCAGTCCTCAGCAGTTATACATTACCATTTCCTACATTCGTCTTTATTTGACAATGTGGTATTATAAATATAATATCAATAAATACTAACATTTGCTGACGTTTTACATCAAGTGTCCTGAACAGTGAATAAACTGCAATGATGACTTAACTATTGTCCATTCCTAAGTGCCAAATAAGACGGATGTAAACTTAATCAATATCTAACTTTCTAAACGACCCCTCAATACCGAAGTGGCTTTCATAGTCGTATTTGACATTACACTCGCGTAATTTCTCCTCCGTACCGTAGTGACGTTCATTCAAAAAATAATCACGATATTTTAATAATTTCGTTTCCATACGCTTAATGATGTCATTTATTGTGCCATTAGTACCGCCATATTCCTCCGGTAAATAGGCGGCCGGCACAAAATCATAGATAACATCTATCGAAGAACTGACAGTTATCTGTGGGCGATTCAATTTGTTTAACTTGGATTATTTAAGTAATTTATATATCGGACTTACCCTATTTTTCATCTTTTCAGGGAAGAAAGCTTTCATTGTATTGAAACCTTTTTCAAATGATAGGGGTACATTTATGAAGCACGTACCCTTCTGGCGCATGGGCATAGCTTCATCAGCAAATATTGAAAACTTGCGAACCAAGTCCGGCGGCAAATGGAAAAGATGTGAACCGGTTACACCGATCATATCCATTATTTCCAAATAACCGCAAACAGTGGAATTGTCGTCTTCAATCATCATGATTTCCCCGAACATTGAACCCACTCGTATAATATCGGCAAATTTATATTTATTAATATCGTAAGCTGTCGATCTTATAATAGTCACACAAGGTCTGCTTTCATCGGGCGGTAACGGTATTTGTAAAATTACCCTTAAAATAAATTTTAAATATATATTTTTTTTTTAATCGTAATGTTTCATTTTACAGAGTTGGCTTACTCATACCCCATTCTAACAATTTCCAATACTAAAGGATCGTCCGATTGGCGCTGTTCATTAAATACTTCAGGTATAGCTGCTTTCAAAGTGTAGTAACGATCAATTTTCTGCTTAGTCCTTTCTAAGCTAAATTTTGAGCCTCTTAGAAAGGCTAAAAGAAACTGATCATTGGTTCGAGCTTTTAAATGCGGTTGACTCCAAATCCAACGTCTCAATATGAGCAGGTCTTCCGCTAAGCGAGCAGGATTCTCATTTAATTCTTTAATCGCTACGTTTTCTAATGCCGGTGATAAAGGCCTTATGACGGGTGGAGCTTCAATATGAATAGGATCCATAATCACAAAATTCTGAAAATATATTTTGCTCTACTAAGCTATCTTAAGCTTTCCGTGCAAATTACATAAATCTAGTGGCTCTACTAACGTAAATCTAGTGCATATCATATGTATAATTGTTATTGTACAAATGACGCCACAAGATAATTAGGCCGTTCGTTTATATTGTGGTCACTTAATGCCAGCGTAAGCCAATTAGTGGCTTACTATTCAATTTCGACAATTGCTTAATCCGCATTAGCCAAAGTAAATATTATTCATTGTTGTTTTTGTTTTTCTTACCTTTTGATGATCTTTTAATGCAGCAAACTAACGTAATGTACATATTGGCATTGATTATAGCCTTAAGTCGAACAAAAGAAACAATGAAATGATTGAAATGCGAAGGGTGCTCAGGTCGTACATGAAGAAAAAGAAATGTCATACTCAAGAAATGCCGGGTGTTGTTATTGTTTAAATGAAAGAGAAAATTTATGTATTTGTCGTCAATGAAAATTGTAAGTAACAGTAAAAGTTGGATTTATGCAGCATGAAAATTAATGTCGCTCATATGATCGCTTGAAGGTCTCCGTTGGGAAACAAAACTTTCCGATAACTTTTCGAAAACATCAATATCAATAAAAGCTAACTCACATTCTTAATAGTTAACATTGAATTTTACTTTGCTTTGTTTCTACACCCTACGCCGCTTTTATTACGAGCGCTTATTAAATTTGTACAGATCTATGCGACATCCGGGAGGACTTTCACCTTTGTTTTTGAATACCTTGTGAAGAGAGTGCCTTCCAAGTGAGCATTTTGCGGGGATAACCAGTAATCATGCAAGAAACGAACTTTGTCTTTAATCTTTGCACTCGAATTCATTCGGCTTTTTTTTGTTTGGTTGACTAACTAATTTGATTACGGGCCAAGTCCGAGGGATATGGTAAAATCATAACAACCTAAAGCAATACATTAACTTTGTAGTCTTGCGTGCCCAAAAGGACTTTAGAATCATTTTCTGAATCTAGTTGAGACCACCTTTTATACGTTTCTTGCAAATTAGTTAAGACGGTAGTGGTAAGTAAAAAAAAAATTGGGACCGCAAAGTTTGTCTGCATCTCTATCAGCCCACATGATCTTGTGTCCATCCAATATTCATCTAATAACTTTCGAGGCGTTTCAAATAAATTTAACATACTGACAAGTTTTGATTTAAAAACGAACGCTGTTGAAAATAATAATAATTGGTCCAAGTCACTTTTATAGCTCCATCTAAAGGCGTCTTTTGAATTATATATGTAGATCATGCAATGAAAACGTTTTCCATTCGTAATATTTCTCGATACGAATTGGTAAAACATTATATTTTAGCAGATTAAATTTGCATGGGACCGGACTGTTTTTGAGCCTTTTCCTATATAAATCTTTGTGCAATAAAAAAGCCTTTATATGATAACAGTATTAGTATTAGTATTTTATGATGAAAACTGATATTAGAAGTGTTTTTGGGCATATAAATTCACTTTGGTATGTTTGCCCCTGTAGATTTTTTCGCGGAGCTATCTAAACAAAATTTACAAGCATTCGTATGACTCCAAAATCTAACTTTTAACTTTTTGTAACTAAAATAGCTGAAGAACTATATTAAACCAAGCGATGTGGAAAATTAATAGTCACCCTTGTACAACGATTATGTTGATTGGGATGGGATCATTTCTTGAACCTCCTTTCATGTAAAAAGATTATCATTTGACATATAAACTCACATAGCTCTATTGTGCAACCAGCAAAAAAATTATAAGATATTTAACCGTCGACCATGTCCATGAGGTAGTGTTTTAATACAAACGAAAATAATTGTTAGATCACTACATCGTGCCGACCAAGTCGGCACAAGGCCTTTCGAAGCATTCAGCTGGCGAAATTTGCGGGCATGAAAATTAATTATTCATATTATAGCTGGGATAACAGAAAATATTAACCAGCTATTAGCTATTTTTTCGTAGAAAATTAAGTTTACTAAAACGATTTGCGATATTATTAGCGAACGGTATCGTTCGTGTTATGTTTCATATATGTGAAAAAGGAAAATAAAAAATGGAAAGTAATATCGTTGATTAAAAAAACAAAGCGAAGTTAGTCACTTTTCATTAGAGTTTGTGCGTCTCCGATAATCACGAATATGCTGGCACAAGCGCCAGCACGTTTATTTGCTGCCAACTTATTTCATTTGCAATGAACAAACATTGAGGTATGTTAGTATTATTATGCCGTCCCTAGCAGCCAAAAAGACCCAGGTCTCGTACGTCGGAAACTTCTGTATGTGTTGTAGCCATATCCATATATTCTTGTTAGTGGAAAATCATCAGGCGTCAATACAACCACGTAACTACATGCGTCCTCCTGTCTGCTCGTTAAAATAATGCATAAAATTTCGCCAGAAACATCAAACTTTGTCTAGTGCTCGTCAATAATCAAAAAAGTTCCGAAAAATTGATAATAACAAGCTTGGTATTATTTATTTATTTATTATTATATTTATATGGCAGACGTTGGCTAGTGCTGTTCTTGAATTTTTTCTGGAACGACCCACTTGTGTCCAGCACATGCCCATTGCGTTGTTTAAGTGATTTATGTTATTACACATGCCTTTCAGATTGTCTTTCTAACGATATACGCATGCCTTACAGTTAAGTAATATATTTTATATACAAACAGAAGATCGGAAATAATGACCTACACCACTTATTGTACAAGGTATATTAACTTTGTGCGGGCCTACTTAACACGCAAAAGATGTTAAAATGGATTTACCTTTTGTTATATATCATTTTCTGAATCGATGTAAGAGTGTCTGTCCGTGGATATTTGTCACAATTTTTGAGATATTTTGGTGAAAGTTGGTACACGGACATGTTTTGATCCAAGGGCGAACGCTATTGAAAATGGTTTGGATCGGTTCACTTTTTCGACCACTTTTCATATAACGCCTATTTTGGGAAGTCGTTATATGACGAGGGACTAAATAGTAGTATTGTGTCATTCTAAATTAGTGCGAAAACTTTGGACCGGCTGAAGCAATTTCCTGAACTTCCTCTTATATAACGAAAAGCGAAGCTCATATGACAAAAACACATCTCAATAGTAATTTTAGATAAAAAAATTAATTTAACCATCACGGCTTATTTTTTTAATCTTACTTTATATAAGGATTTCAAATAATGCTTTATTGAGCAGAAAAGTCTAAATGTAATTATGTTATGATGAAAATTTACCTACAATAGTAACTTGATATAAAAATCGATTTCACAAAATTTGCACCACATGCGCCTGTTTTCGGATCTTACCCTACATAAACGTTTGCATGAAAATTGTTGTTTTTTAGTGCAGATAAGTTCTAACATTTTATAATGAAAATTGATCCATAATAGTAGTTTGATGTAAAAATTAATTGTCCTGAATTTTGAATACCCCAATTATTGAATCAGTCGAGCACAACCGCATAGTAAGTTTCTAGAAAAAAAGGGTGTAATTTTTGTATTCTATGCAAATATAAGAATAATGTGGTGCAGGATATTTAATAGTCGCACTAGCCGAACTATGGTGTTTTCACGTGTTTCAATCTGAACTCTTGAAGTTAAACGTCACAAATTTTTACGGCATATATTTCTTGAGTGCCAGCGAAAGAAGTGAGTGAAGGTTTTTAATCGATTCGATTCAAGCCGGGATACACGTTTCTCTTTCACGTTTTTTGTTTTTCTACTTTGATAATTAACACGTGATAAAGCTGTATGCGCTCTCGGTATTTTCACTACCGCAGTCAAGCAGATACGTATTGGCTTTAAGATCATTTGTTGGCATACGCACCAAATCAACTGTCACACGTTATATTTATACACTCTTCTTAGTGCCAGTGGCAATGTTTATAAAGCAAACAACAGAATTTTAAAAATTGTTTTCTTATTCAGTCAGGCAATGTTTTAAATATTCTACACCACTTCTCCGACTATAGTCACAAAATGACTTTTCAAAATGAGATATTATATGGAAAATGCTCGAAGAAGTGGACCCACCTAATCATTTTGAATAGTGTTCGTCCTTGGCCCAAAACATGTCCGTGTACCAAATTTCATCAAAACATCTCAAAAATTGCGATCTGTAGGTTGAACCCAACAAAAGACAAGACAAGTCTATCGGTACAATAAAAGGTGGGTCTATTTCAAGTCCTTCTGTGTGTTACGTGGTGTACGTCTTAATAACGTATCGGTTGAAAAATACTGATATTGATGTCTATGTGACGTCTCTAACAAGAAATCTACACTACTTTCAAAAAATGCGAACGCACAAGTGATGCCAGTTAAAGTTTCATGTCCTTTTAAGTGTTTTTTAACGAATCACAGCGGCTGTAGTGACAATGCTTTTGCTATCAAAAATTTGGGAATTTTATGTCTTGGATAAACACCAGTTTTTCAGTGCAAAATCTACCATACACACTCAGGATTAGCTTGAAAAGTTTTTTGGCCTTCTTCGTCGAAAGTCACAGCTTATGTTTGTGCGAACAGCATCGACACTGGGAGGTAAACAGGAATGAAAAACTTAACTTTCGCGATTGTATGCAGCTGTTTGGCAAAAACGACTAAATACAAAATCGAAAGTTACTTTCAGCTGCGTGATCATCCGCCTGAACACAGATAGAGTTACACGAGAAAACTTCAAAAAAAAATTCTCCAGAGTACTCTCCATAATACAAAAGTGAAGTTGCAAGTGGTGTCGCAAAAATATCAAAAGGCAAAGTAATGGCTAAGAATAAAGGCCTGACCAAGCTCTTCCCCAAATGAGTTTAGCCGAACTCATGCGACTATTGCTAAGCACAGCCAAGACTTAGCTCAGACTTAGCTCTTATTATATTATATTTGCTTGCGAATCTCGTGAGATGGCTCCAGCACACATTTGAACAAAATTGTTGAGGAAACTAAAGCACATTTCAAGGATTTTGACCTTGTTGATTAACAAAGTCGCATTTTACAAAACAACAAAATGTTGTTTCTGACTCAATATTGACCAGGGCACTATGTTCGCCTAGCTTCTTCAACATTTTACATTATTCGAAATTATACATATATTTCGCGAAATTTCTGATTATGAGTCGGCAACTGCGGTATGTCTCAGAACACATGATAAAATTTTCTTCGCTTTCGTCACATGTTGTCAACCGCAATGAATGATGAATTTTCCGATCAATAAGGGTTCCAATAAAGAGCGAAGAGAAGAGAGGTTCAAAAGCATATCGAATTTCACGTTGATCTAAAATATATTCCGATATATTACTCTGACGATTCGCAAAAGGCAATAACAAAATTGTTATACCTCACCGCTATACTTTCACCGATGGTGCGGGCTTATACGGCCAGCTCTTCATAACCTTTACCTTTACGGTGCGAATAACGTACGAGAGCTTTTATATTTAATATAACATTTGCGTTTGGCTTCAATTTTTACTTTTTTTATCTTTTGACCATCAAATGAAGAGGGAACGAACTCGAATGACTCGACTCAGAATTTCAAGTTTATCTATACTGTGTATACACTTTGTAGCTCTTGTGATTCACATTCCAAAGCCTCACAAAAGAAACGACGAATTTGTGACTCTTCTATCATCCGCGTAGAAACGCTGTTTGAAAAACCCAACAATTTTTTTACTAGCAACGCAAGTAAACTGACCAGAATAATTTTAAGTGGTCGTAGAAATGTTTTCTTTCGTATTTTCTTTTACCTTTTGATGAATATGGCAATGGAGTTCGTCAGGACCGCTTTATACCGCAATTTTAAATCGCTGCATACCATATTTTAGACTAACATTTGCTGTACGCTGCAACTTTGCAAAGATCATTTTCTTGTTTGATTGTAGACGTTTGGGTACATGATTTACTAAATCAAACCCTAGAAATGTAAAGCTTACAGTTTTCTTGAAGAATTCTTATTACCGATAAACGATAAATGAGGCGGACTAGGCTTTCTTTTTGGCGCTTCGCTTAATTCGTCCGATGTAACAAACACACAAACTAAAGTGAGATTATTGCACTTTTATCCTTCATAGAGCCAATTTTTATACGTTTACCTTAGATGAAAGGTAACCAAGTTTCGCTCCGAAGCTATTATAATTTTCTTACCTGTTTTTGACGTTTTTCTTTTTATTTGCTTTTATTTTATTTTGTATAATTACCTCGGTGGTTGACGTTAGACGAATATTATATTAGTACTATCTTTTTTATTACCAAAAAACTTTCTCATGCACTTGATAAGTAAGTGTTCGTTCACGTTGAACATTCGTAAACAACTGTTTGTTGTGTGATATGATTTTCTTGCGTAAACACAACCGAGTCTACATTAGCCTCCGGTTTGTTTTGTGTAATTTTCTTTTCATTTACTTTTTGTCAGTTGCACATGTGCCAGAGAAGCAAAGTTAAACTACAATCATTCATTGATAAACGGACGGATACGTTAGCCAAGTAATAAACGCGCAAACACACAAGATAAGTGACTTTGCTTTGGTTTTTTTCTTCCAATAAATGGAAATAAATTTTAAATTAAATTTTTGTTTTCTCTTGAATAATCACTCAGCCATTATTTTGTTCCATTTTTCTACTGTCTTTCCCATTTAGCGAATTAAATGTTTTATTGAAGTCAATGCAGTCAGAGACCAATTGCTATGCTTTTTTTCTCTTTTTTTTTTTTAATTTATTTATACACATTATTGCGGTTTATTGATCTTATTACAAATTGATTATCCTCTGCAGTGCATGTCGCATTGAACTAAATACAGTTACTACTACAATAAACAATCATTACTGAATACAAAGTGTTAATTACTTTATTTATTGATTTGAAAGAAAAAACAAAGTAACAACAGAAAGTCTTAGTTTAGTACAAACTGTTGCTTATTCTCATATCCAAATACTATAAAATCAGTTTAAAGCGAAAGATTTACACGATGAAGCACAACGTGTGTTGTCAAAAGAGTATTTGGGATTTAAAAGACTTTTTCTTCACCTAATCAGTCAAATTTACGTGACCTGGCTGATCAAGATTTATATGACAGATAATTCAACCTAATACTATATGATTTGTTTCTTAGTTAAATATCAAGATTTATGTGACGAACACTTTTCAAGTATATTTTTGTAGACAATTTTTACAAGTTGCATAAATTTTCGTTTTTTTAATGGCATTTAACGATTTGATTTACCTATCACGAGATGATGGTTTGAAAGTAGTCCTACGTATAGTTGGCACTTGGTCCATAACGTTTGATGAACTTTGTCACAAGAATGCAAATACTTGCGTAAATCAGAATGAAAAGCACTTAAAGTGTTTAAGTGCAAAGCTCACACAAGCTAAAGAGTGCAAGATAAATACGAACGCCACTAGTGACTGGAGCTTTCATCAAAAGCGGGACTTAGCTTACAATTCCATAAAAGCAACAGTTTTCGATATCTATTCCATCCACTTTTTCGATAAGATATACCTACTGATTCGCCAATTGTGAGCAATTTCCCGATCTCTCCGCAAAATCACCGCTTGTAATAAACGGTGCCACAAACTTTTTCGATTATTTAATGCTTAATGCCTGCAAGATATTTACAATTTAGGTACAAAGTCATTGCACGACAACTTATTTCTCTTATATGCTGCTTTGAAAAATTACGTGTTTTAAAATTACATTTGCCGAGTGTATCGCGTGTAAAAGTCTAATTAAATTTTCTTATTTATGTTAACGGGACATACTGATTTCATCATAACGTTTGTTAGATTTGCTTTTAGTTTACGTATTAAGATTAGATTTACAACTTTTCTGTAGGCCATTCCACGCCAAGTTGTTATGTCCCATTTGAGGTACATCTTAACCAATACAATAACTGTGAATAATCCAATTTTTATTTTGACTTTGTGGGGAAACGTGTTAGTAGAATTGAAATTTATCTAAAACAAAATCAAAAAACGCATTAAAAATAAAATGCATAAGAGAGGCGTAGCACGTGAATACGATTTCCATTTTATACAAGTAACCGAACCTCAATGTATACAGTGCATGACAAAACGACGTAACGACTGAATGGATCTTCGTTGCATCTTGCCATCAAAACATCATGCACAAGCTAATGGTATTAAAAGATTTAGCTTAAGCCGAATGCATTTTCTTTCTTTTCTCTAAAATAGTTGATTAAAATTTCATTTTACTCTCTAAATAGTTACTCTTAACGTAAATTTGCGTCGCTACGAATAACAGGAATGTGCTAAAACCATCATTTAGGAGCAAAAAAATGACTTTCAACCAAATAATTATACGCCTGCTTTACAAAATATAATGAAAAAACACAATATTGTTAAAATCATAAAGTTCCGGCTACCGGCATAAATCTTTCAGACTTAACTCTATATATATATATATATATATATATATACACGCAGATGTATTTGCTAAATAATACTGTTTGCGTATAAGTGAAATATAATGAATGAAACGATACATAAAACTCTCATATCATTGGAAAAAGTTTAATAAAATATCAGACAAATTACTTAATATCGTTAGCGGATATATTTTTTTTTATTCCGGTGTACGTATCTACATACCTATGATATTGTTTATGGAGTAAGTTTGCAAGTTTTTTCTTAAAGAACGCAGTGGCAGCGCAGCGACCATTAGTAAACTAGCACGCAACCACTTTCGCTCCATCTTTTATGAGTTGTTGATCGTCATTATCTCGTCCTAAGCCTCCCGTCTTCGAAGCTTGAGACGTCGCGTTTGTGTAGGTTTGCTCCGTGGGGCACAAAACCGGTGCATTCCATTTATCTTTCCCATCAGCATAGCTGTCATTGCGTTAAATGGTATATAATTTCTACCTCCAGAGATCTAGTAAGCAAATTTCTCATAGATGTCCAAGCCGACGAGCCGAAAGCAGTGTGCTCTGCATCCTCATGTATGCTTAGACATAATGTTTGCATGTATGTGTGTATCTACAACTATATACATATATACATATCATTGTTATTAGTATAGATTATACATCGATGTACATTTATGTTATTATTATTATATACTCAATATTATTATTATTTAGTCACAATAACATTTTACATAAATTACGGTAATACTTTAGCGCGTTCCCTCAAAACAAGTCTATAAAACAAGACTATTTATTATTATTAATATTCGACAAAATGAATACAGGCACGAAAATTATATTCGGCAGTGACCGAATATTTATGAGAAGAACTACATTTTCTTATTCTATAATATTGAGTGGGCGTGGCTAATTTTTTTTTATTTTCAGTTTAAAATAGGAAACTTTAATGCATTTTTGTTGTACTTTATGAGTAATAAGCAAGAAACGCGGAACAAAATTGTTCAAAGTTTTTTTATATAGACATTTGGGCGCTATATGGACGTGCTCTTTGAAAAGGTCGGGTTCATATTCTATTGCAAGTTTATAGGCGATATCCTCGTTTCTGCAAACGAGAATACGTTTACCACAGACATTGCACGATTGGGCAGACGGGCAGATAAACGAACGGAAGTGCTTAAGCGCATTCCGAATTTGAAACTGGTCAAGGATTAATATACTTTATGGAGGTTCTGAAACTTGCTTCTGTGCGTTATGGAGGTTGTGAAAAAAAATGAAATTATGACAAACTATTAAATTTAGTAGGCGTGACCGATTTTTGCCATTTTGTACAGCTTCGCCCTTAGAATATGTATTCAAAATTTTTAAAACCTTACCTACTGTAGTTTATAAGCAATGAGCAAGAAAATAATTTTCATTCCTTTTGAAAAGCAGAGGTGGCCTCATTTAACATAATACTGTTCGCGTGTCCTTCGACCGATTTTTCCAATTTTAAATACCAAGACAATGTTCGCGGACTTAAATTTCAGTGCGGTGGAGTATACTTGTTTGTAGCTATAACGAGTATTCAGTCACTGTCTGAAGCTTCCCGTTGAGAGTTCCAAACGTTTTGGCAAAATGAATATACCCAGCAGGTGGTGGCTTTAATAAATTATATCATATACCACCGCAAACTGTGTTTATTTATTATACATCGTACATAAAATAAACAAGCAAGAACATAAGTCGGGTAAGCCCGCCATTAAATGCCTTACAACACATTGTCTAACACAATTATTATTTTTATTATAGACCACAAAAATTATATCTTGTTTATATATAAAGTCATATTTTTCATGTTCGTAGTTCTGGGGAAGCAGGCCAAAAACGCAACTTAAAGTAGTGCAAGTTTAATCCTTACATCAGGCAGAATCTAAAAACAGGCGTAGATGGTTCAAGTTTTGTGGATTTCATAAACGCTAATAAGCGAGAAACGGCGTCTCTTACGAAAACAGTCTTAACAAATGCCTACGTGCGCTATTCATTTCTTTTGCGGGGTATTCGCCAATGTCGCCAGCAAAGAGCTTTCGTCTCGGGGGTAAATGATTTTAAATCATTATTAAAAATATAATTAAAGAGAACTTATTTCTTCCTGTTTTATTAATTATTCTAATTAATAGCCCGAGCGCGGAGCCAACTGCAGGCGAAAGATTTTGTAGTCAACAAAATGTGTGACGGTGTCCACGCGCATTTCGCGGTCAGAAAGAGAAACTGATACTGCTGGGCCCACCCAATCTTAATGAAAGCAATGTTAGCACTGTATTATTTCCGAAACACCTTAACGCAGCGAGGGTGAAGTTTTCAAAAATGAATTTTTTTTTTATAATAAAAAAAATGATTTACTAAAGAAATCACCCAATTCGTAAATCAATTCGTACAATTAAGATAATTGCACTCCGCGTCTACACCTCGCTCCAGAGAAAATTTTTATTGCGGGGAAAGAATTTAACACTACGGATGCAATGCAAAGTAAGGCAATGATTAAAAATGATAAACATTTCAAAAATAGTTAGAGGGCATAAGATCGTTATTTTGATTGGTTAAAGATAGCGCTTGCAACCTTTTTCGAGACATAATCGAGGCTGGATATAAGTACTTACTATGTCTATCTCTTTGTAGCATTGTCAGCAAATCTCTTTTTCAATTTCACTCTCAATGTCACTTTCACTATAATTGTTCAAATCACAATCCTCAAACGCCTTACCCTGTGTATCATCCAAGATTTCAGTATTCATATTTATAATCTTCTGTTTTTCTAAGTCACTACCCCTGTCCATAAGAATAATACACTGACGTGAAGTTAGCCCACTGTGCGTAGCCCTTATTTTTATTTTTGCTAACCGGTCGGGTATCTTCACGCTTGCTTCGCTCTTCTGCTGAGATAATTGAACGATATTGAGAGAATAACTAAATGATGGGAAACACTAAACAAACATAAACAAAAAGAGAAATCACGTTAGGAATTTTCTCGAATTTTTTAGAATTCTTAGCCTTTTATGTGTACGGGAAGCGCATATTTGTAGGATTTTGGCGGTGATAAAGAAGAATTTAGTAATGAAATTAGGTTGTTCTGATAGCGTGGACCGTCCTTTAAAGTATATTAATACTCTGCACTTGCTTAATTTCATTAACATTTTTTATAATTAATTTAGTCTCTTATGTATACGGCGAGGGCGTATTTGGTGAAGTTAGGTCTTTTGACAGGTTTTACGTCTTTTCAACATGTATTTGTCATCTGTAGTTACGTGATGTCTGTCGAT